CCGCTCTAGTTTATAATGATTCGTTATGTCATGAAAGGACACCAGCCCATCTCTCGCGGACCTCCCCGGAACTGGCGGCTCACCTACCCGGCTGACGAAACCTCGAGCATTCAGGTGAGCCGCCTCGTTCCCAGGGTTCCCAGAGTGTGCTGGTACCCAGACAATTTCTATTTCTCTCATTTCTCGTCCCGTGGCCCTATGCAGAAATCGTGCAGCGGTCGCCGATATTCTGCCCCTCGCCAGATTTCGGATGGCTGTCTTTGAATCACTGAAAATCAAATCTGACTGCGAATTAGTTATAGCTAGCGCTATTGCCGCTTCCTCTGCAGTTTCCAAGGAGCGGGTTTGACCGATCCAGAAGCGATCAAGCGCCCCCGCCTGTCCACCACCACAATCACAAAAGCGTCTTTGTCCTTATATTCCGCAACATCTGTATAGACTGCCGCTTTGTACTCGCCGTACTCAACGTGTAAAGCTCTGGCTCTTGCCTGCCTGCGCTGCGTATGGTGAATCGGGTGCATATTTTTGGGCAAAGTTTTTATGTACAGGGCCTTATGTAACTCTCGCCGCACCTGAATTTTAGTGTCCCCAGTGGGAGCCTCTGCTCCAATGCCAATCCTTTCCAATATAATCCTGCCCGCTTTGGTTGTCGAAAGCCTAGCGTGCTGCATCACCAGATGCGCCTCCCATAATTCATCCAGGGTGTTGTGTACCCCTAGTTTTAATAGCATTTCTGTAGGCGCGTTGTTAGGCGACCCAAGCGCTGCCTTGTAAGCTTGCCGGATCAATAGCCTCGACCTTACCTTTTTCTGCGGCATCCAACTTCATATAAGGTGTCGCGTAAGTAATCCTGCTGAGCACAAAAGCCTGTACCAGCTTTACAGAGGTCTTTTCTTCAAACCCCGCTCTTACGGTTAGGCGATTCTTCGATTAGCCTGACAGTAGCATTGACCGTGGTCTTAAGTTTTTCAGGGCCACCCTATTCTTTCCTGTAGTTTGCAGGATATAGGACCAAGAATTCTAAATCGTCGCGTCGGCGGTGATTCCCGGAGGAAATTCGAAGGACTGAGAGTTGGGGTCTCAGGTGACATAATCGTGCATGGATGAAATGAAGACTGCTCCATACGACGTGCCCCAGCCGCGGTGGTATAGTGGCTGCAGGTACGTTGGCTGCTGACCCGGCAGGTTCGCGGGCTCAAATCCCGGCTGTGCCGGCTGCATTGCTGCTGGAGGCGGAAAGGACGTAGGCCCGTGTGCCTCAGATTTGGGTTGAACGTTAAGAACCCCAGGTGGTCGAAATTTCCGGAGCTCTCCACTACGGGCGTCTCTCATAATCATATGGTGGTTTGGACAGCTAACCCCCCACATATCAATCAATCCATGCGACGTGGTGCGCTTGCGAGCAAGTATGCGGAGTTTCTGTGGAGCGTCAAATGTGGTTAGTTGCCATGCGCTGAAGTTGATTTATGTTGTAGTGTCCAGGGCCAGCATCCTCCCGAGAATCAGCGCTTCATATCAGCGTATGGTGTTGCTGATACGGATGTTCCAGATGACATAGCTGAGCAAGTGCAAACAACTTGTTAAAGAAACATCTGCAACTCTTCAACATTTGTCTGCGCGTGCAACATTTTTGCATACATTTAGCATCATTTCATGACGTGTCGCTCAATCAAAACATTGCAACACGGTCACCTGCCCTCCGCCTGCTTCGCATAACCTCTATTCCCAAGTACGTGGGATCTGCCGAATTTTTATCCCCTGCAGCTCTCAACTTGTGGAAGCAGTGCACGTTTGCGACCCATATTTCTGTACTCACGCCATTCCTACCCGTGCGAGTGCTTCCATGTTTCAGTCTCGGTGGTTGCCTACATTGCTACAGAGGCACAGTGTACAATCTAACTTTTTTTATGTGTATTCAAGAAAACGCCTTCAAATGAGTTGACCAGACAATCATATCAAGAAAAGCATCGACAATATTACTCACTGTCTTTTAACTGTTGTGTGCTAATTGGGACGTAAATTGAAATGAACTGAAATTGACAAAAGACCACCCACTCCGTCGGAAGGATCTATATCCCCAACCTCCGAAAAGCGACTGGTGACTGAGATGTTCCGCCAGTGCCATGGATTAACTCGTGGTCACTGCTCTGAACGCTTGTGACTGCTGTCCGTTCCCTCGCGTCTGCTCCAGACAGCTCTATTAGCACATAATAATACATAAAGTGAGCAAAATGAACCCGTTACTCCACTGCTCTAACAATGATGCCGATTCCGGCACAGGTCTTTCCCGAGATAAAGCCGTAGCCGTACTCGCTTTTCCGCACGCCGCGATAGCGCGCTATCTGGTTTATAGCACAGGTAATTCCCGTACCAAGCGTCGCTGGCCTTCTTATCGCGACCATATTCACCACAGCACGACAAGCGGCGTGGTACACAGAACAATACAGTACGATGACGACACGTATCTCATCCCTGCAGCTCTCACGTGGTGCCTCTCAGCTGACTGTGATAATGCCCGAACAACGAAGTGTCACTTATATTTACACCGATAACATTATCCTTCAGTCACTGCAACCTTGATTTTTTCGGCATTCGGTGCTAAAAGAACGACCAGATATTATTTAACTGTCACGTGCGTGGATGATACAACGGCAGAAAAAAAACTGATATTGATGACAAATGAACTTAGAATTGAACCAAGATCTGTTATATGCGGTATCTCGGGAGCATGCATTGATATGGTATATACATCCGTAAACACAATATCTAAGATTATAAAAAAAAGAGAATGATGCTCGCGGTGGTCTAGTGGGTAAAGTACTCGTCTGCTAACCCGCAGGTCGCGGGATCGAATCCCTGCTGCGGCACCTGCATTTCCGATGGAGGCGAAAATGCTGTAGACCTTGTGTGCTCTGATTTGGGTGCGGGTTAAGGAACCCCAGGTGGTCAATATTTACGGAGCGCCCCCACTACGGCGTCTCTCATAATCGTATGATGGTTTCGGGACGTTAAACCCCACATATCATTATCAGAAGAGAATGCCAGTTACTCGTTTCTGCAAGCTAAAGGACTCGTTGTTGATGAATATGCCAGGGTTATGCTGCGGGTTCTTGTTACTTTGATAACGTACTTTATTTACGCCTCCAAACCGTTATGGGCAAAAGCAGATTCATAAGAATGTTGGCGAATCTAATCACTGCCCCATACGCGACTTGTGTGCTTGGCGGCGTAGTCTTGCGACGCAGAAATACAAGGGCACAAGCTCGCTTTCCGGTCATGGCAGAAGCATTACAGCTGGGGTGGAAGGCAAAAACATAAATTTATGTGCTCGTAAAAATAAAAATACCTCTGGTCAGAATTATTTTACTCTGAAACCTTTTCATTGCGGTGAGATGCATGATCACCGTTTAATTTTGCATGACAAACCCAAAAAATATTTAATCACACCGGTGTTATACACCCAATCCTCCAAATTATAGGTAAGCCAAGGGGGAAAGTGTGCTTAGTTCAAGCGCGCTGAATCCTAAAATATTTATTTTGCAGAAAAAAAATGATGCAATGTTTACACGTCGTTATGACAAAGCGAGGCTGCTTTGTACAATTCCAAATTAAGAAGTGAATGTGAACGGTATTGGACAATGCCATTCCCATTTTTGCTACGCACCGCTCCTGTGAAACCCCTGCAAAAGCATTAACAGTATGTTGATGATAAAATAAAAATAATAATAATAAATACTATGATTCTCATGTGTCTCCACGTAACAGTTCAATATGGGAAGTTCTCAATTGGTTCGGGGTTTTCTTCTTTGTTTATTCATAGAGCAACTGTATACAATAATTCAAATTCTCGACTGCTTTACCCAAAAATATAGAAAGAAGTTTTTTTTTTTTTTTGACAAAGTCTGAATGCGGAAAATCTAGCCATATATGGCACTAGTAAGCGACTACTTATCTTCCGTTCATGCGGTCTCGCTTGGCATGCGAGAGACTGACCGACTCGGCTGCTGCTTCTTTTTTTTCTTAATTCGTTGTACCCCCTTACAAATGAATTTTATTCCAGCCATAGCGGCCGTATTTCGATGGGGCCGAAATGCTTTAGGCTCGTGTACCTAGTATATAGGAGCGTGATAAGGAACTCTAGGGGGTCGAAATTTCCGGAGCCCTCCACTATGGTGTTACAATCATATAGCAGTACTGGGACATAAAACGCCAACATTTATAATTGATGATGACTTTTCACTTACACGACGAAATAGAAGGATAAACTCGTTTCTGTACTGGTAGAAAAAAAGTAGGAAAGCTGACGTAACAGTGATTTTGGTGGACCGCGCATACCAACAACATCCCAGAGAAGATTCCGGCTGCGTTCATGGAGTCTTCGTTGAGAATTCGCAGACATATGATAGGTCAATGCACCCGAACAGGTCCTAAATTTTCGATGGAGGCGGAAATGGTGTAGGCCCGTGTGCTCAGATTTGGGTGCACGTTGAAGAACCCCAGGTGGTCGAAATTTCCGGAGCCCTCCATACGGCGTCTCCCATAATCATATGGTGGTTTTGGGACGTTAAACCCCACATATCAATCAATCAATCAATCAACCGAACAGGTCCTAAAAACTTTCTCTTCAATGATTGGCGCAGAGGGAGCTTTTTTTTTTTTTCACCGGAAGCTTTCCCTCTTCAGCTATTGGAAAAGTCAACCTACTCAGCGAAGGTCTCTAAACAGTGGCGCTTCATGCTCACCTCGGAAAAAGTACTTCGACACCACGAAAAGAGAACACCGTGGTCGGCAGTACGCGAACACGTTTCACATAGCACGGCTTCTCTTCCAGTTCAGAGGAGAAGAGGGGGAGTATCGACTGACTTTTATATTATCAGTTATCCGCGTAGCTAATCACTCCAGACAAAGGGCAGCTTAGGCTCATCGCTGCGCGTTATTCGTAAAACAGGCGCTAGGCTGGCTGATCGCGCGAAGTGAAAGGCGCACGCGCACACTGCTGCGCCGATTGTACTACGCAAGCGATCGCAGCTGGCAAGCAGCGCGCACGCGCTAGTGTCAGTAGGAGAGAGCATCTCAACAAAAGCGACAGCAGCGGGGAAACCCCTCGCGTAGCTAGCACCCTGTCTGAAACGCCGCGTTGACGGGCAAGTGCTGGCCTTCGCTCTTTGCGTGCCCACATCGTTCCCGAGCACAAGTGCGCGGCTGGCTGCTGTCGTCGTCGTTTTATCTCGTGGTCGCCCTCTTCGACAAGCAGCTGAGAGGCGCGCGAGCTGAGGTCGTTCCTGTTCCTTTGTTGTTCGCAGCTGCCAAACACCCCTTGCTCTGGTTGCGAACGCGCGAAGCGTCAACGATATGGTAAGTGAAGCTGCGGGAAGATGCCGTTAGCATTATTTCGGTTTTTTTTTTTTTAATTTACAGCAAACGCCGCATCATGAATGGCCGTAAATATTTCATGCCATGCGATTTTAATCCCTTTTCCTAGGACGTAAACGTAGGTTGCGTTGACGGTACAAGTAATTACCCCCATTTGCACTGTATCGTGGACTAACTATTAACTGTTGGGGTTTAACGTTTTAAAACCACCAAAGGACTGAGAAATGCCGTAGTGGAGGACTCGGAAAATTTCGACTAGCTAGGGTTTTTTCACGTGCTCCGAAATCTAAGCACGCGGGCCTTTCCATTTCCGCCTCCATCGAAATTGCTGCCGCCACGGAGATGATTCGGTCCCGTGACCTGCGGGTCAGCAGCCGAGGGCTTTATCTTTTGGACCACCGGGGCGGGTTTAGCTAACTGATGATGAACGGTGAAAGAAATTACGTAACGAACGCGAAATATGTTTATACGTTTATTATCGCTTAAAATCGAATAAACCATTTAATCTGCGCTAGTGCGACGCTTTGCTTTATACTACAGCTGCATATAGTACAAGGTCCCGAGGGAAACAACGCCCCAGTCGTAACAGAGGCCCTGCCTGCACGCATACTACGAAGCAACTTTAGCAAAAGCGTGTCGAGACACGCGACTAATTGCTGACACCGCGCAACGCATTTCAAGCTTCTCTGCCGCGAACACGTCGCTAACAAGTGTGCCAATCGCAGATACGAATAGCACCTCTGACGGCATGCAACTTGCGAGAGGAGCTTTTGACAAAATGCTATTCACTCTGATTTCCGCTCCTCGTCTGTCGCTTTTTACACTTCACCTTTTGCTGCGCAAACACGCCACTTCTTTTTTTTTTTTTTTTTGCTATCTCTGTGCACTATTCGAAGCAGAAACGATGCCAATTGAACGCGTAGACGAGTTGGTCGATGTGAATGGAAGGTACGAAGGTGTCGATCTGGCAGGTAATCAATCGGCCATCCTTCGACGCGTTCTTTTGTTCCAGCAGCCCTGTGGGCGTCCTAAAATGTCTGCGTAAACTAAAACTAATGCGGGAGCGGAGGTCTTGTCTCACTGCGCTCGTTATCGCAAGCGAAGAGATAAATTGAGATAGTGTACAGCATCGACCATCCACCTGTTCAAGCTTTTAATGCCAAAAGAAAAAAAAAGAAATGCATGCTCGGGAGATCAAAGGGGGCGTGTTGCCTGTAATGACTTGGTATTTACCGTGATATAGAATAATTGTACAGGGGCCCCGCCGCGGTGGTCTAGTGACTAAGGTACTCGGCTGCTGACCCGCAGGTCGCGGGCTCGAATCCCGGCTGCATTTCCGATGGAGGTGGAAATGTCGTAGGCCCGTGTGCTCAGATTTGGGTGCACGTTAAAGAACCCCAGGTGGTCAAAATTTCCGGAGCCCTCCACTACGGCGTCTCTCATAATCATATGGTGGTTTTGGGACGTTAAACCCCACATATATTCGTCATCAATAATTGTACAGGGCTAGCTTGGCGTATGTTTGCCAGCCTGTTCGACGTGCTCTTAAGGTCGCCGCCCCCACGGAACGTGGTCTCTCCTGCGCGTGTGCGCTTATCAGAATCATGATTCGGGAGAGGAGGAAGGTCGCTTCTCAAGCGGCAACGGCCGCATTAACGAAAGGAACGCGCTGCTGGCACACGACGCAGGAAGGATTGTGACAGTTGTTAGCCCGCGCTCGTCCTCTGCATGCTAATTCAATGCGTGCTCTCTGCTTCAGGTGTGTGCTGCAATTTTCGAGCTGCTTGCCGTTCCTAACGTGACTTTGCGATTTCTTGCTGGAACAAAGCACAATAAACGCTGAACTACCGCTTTAAAGACATGTTTCAATTTCGTGTTATAGCTATTCTTATATAGGAGGGGATCAGCCACGTTTTTTCATATATTTTTGCATAAGTGATTTTGTTCATGCGACTAGCAAACCTATAATTCCAAACATCTGCCAAACTTGCCACCATATCATTCGAAGGCCACAAATGAATATAGGTTTGCGAAAACGTTCCTGGTTGAAGTTGCCTTATTGAACGCAGGCGTAGAGAATGCTGGTAGTACGTTAATGACTGCTCCTATCCAGCTATCGAAATTGTTTGAATGGTGACAATTTATTGCTTCGCGAGTTATTTTTTTTTTCGGTGTATACAGTGCTTATTCTCAAACTATTACCTGTATGTCTGTCTCAAACAGACGGGCACCTTTCTGTTCAGAGGGCAAACGTGTTCCTTGCGAATTTCACGTTGAATGTTCTGTTGCAACAACGACCCTTTTGTGCGATCGAAGCCACGTTCAGCGCTTGCTAGCAATGTTTAAGGCGGTCACGCTTCTCTAGCGTAGCGCTTTGTTTCGGGTTTTAGGTCGAAACTTTAACGTTCTGGCAAATCTTTATCGAAGATCCCAGTATCAATAATTATTCATATATTAGTCTGTTTAAAACAGGCATGGCTCTCTAACGACGGTGAAGAGCATGTTAATGATAGTTTCCTGCGCAGAGATAGCTTGGGCAGAGATAGCTTGGACCAAGCATACCTGCCTGCGTCGGCATTGCGAGGTGAGAGAGGGGGAGGGGCGTGCGCTGTAAGGGTGGTCACGCCGCACACCAGATTGAGCTTGACCATAAGACGCTTTGCGTCTAAAAAGAAAAAAAAAAGATGCACCCATGTAGAGCCAGGCGATATTAACCAATGGCGTCCTGATTCGCTTCCAAGGCTATCTTTCTACTCAAATCATTTGTGTTCTGCGTATGCACGTCAGCATCGCCGGTAGTTCTTTACGTTGGCCTTAGTCATAGTGTCGTCTTTTTGCGCCTTCAGTATGAATGATAGAATAAAAGAAAAGACACAAAAGCTACGGTAAGTTTCTGCGCGTTCGTTTTAGGAAGCACGGAACATTTCACTTTCGCCGAGAGATAACAGTCAAGGCGTCTCACATGCGTAACTACGGCAAAACAAATAAATTTCGCAATAATTATGGCAAGGGTGAACTGCATTTTTTCATCGTCGTTATCAACATAGCTATCGCGGTGGTAAAACCCGGCAAAGGTTTAGCAAACATACGACGCTCTCATTTCATCCGTTATCTCGTACAACGGAAACATCGTCGCGTGGACGATGTTTCCGTTGGAAACACATGGACTGACGACGTTCACAAAAAACATTACCTTTTAATGAAGTCTCTGTGCTCATGTCATGAACGCAGCTTGCCCCGCCGCGGTGGTCTAGTGTCTAACGTGCTCTGCTGCTGACCCACAGGTCGCGGGATCGAATCCCGGCTCCGGCGGCTGCATTTTTGATGGAAGCGAAAATGCTGTAGGCCCATGTGCCCAGATTTGGGTGCACGTTGAAAAAAAATGGCAGCATATCCACGAAGTGAATGATGGAGAGTGGGGCGAAGAATTCGTCCGTCCATTCGTTCTTGCTTCCGTCCGTCAGTGTGACCGTCCATGCGTCCATCAGCCCATCCGTGCGTGTGTCTGTTCGTGCGTCCACCCCTGCGTTCGTCCATGCAGCCGCCCCTGCGTCCGTTCATGCGTCCATCCATGCATCTGTCTGTGTCCGTTCGTCCATCGATTCAACATTCTAAATACCACTATCTCGCATCTTTTCATCATATATTCCCCATATAGAAGCACCGCCATCCAGCGGACATTCCAAGGACTAAACGAGAGGTGGCACACGCACACTTTCTTACGGCTTGCGCTTCGGGTCCACTTCCCACCTTTAACCACCTCGAGTTCATGGTATATATCAGTTCACTGTATTCATGGCACTGCGGCCGAACGCTCGCTAAACCTTTCGAAAACCAAGGAGGTTACGCCCAGCGAGTATGACGTAGCAAACTTTTTCAGTCAGATAGTGCTCAATGTACGTGCCAATGGCTGCTAATGGGAAATGAGAGGCGGAGAATTCGCCTTTTACTTTCTTACGGCTTACGCTTCGTATCTACTTCTCATTTTTAACCACCTCGAGTTCATTCATGGTATATACAAGTTCATTGTATTCATGGCATTGCGGCTCAATGCTCACTAAACCTTTCCAAAGCTAAGGAGGTTACACCCAGCGAGTATAACGTAGCAACCCTTTCTTGTCAGATAATGCTCAATGTACATGCCAATGGCTCCTAATGGTGATCGCAGCCTGCGCGTTAACTAAAAGCCGAACGCTCCTGTCTCTCATTCCCCATTAGCAGCCATTGACATGTACATTGAGCACTATGTTTTATTGTTCAACAACGCACAGAAGTCTCTCACCGGCACCACCTTGGAGGTCAAAATGCTATACTTGTTACATACTACGGAGAATGAACGGGTGCGTCTATAAGGAGCTTCGTCCCTAAAACCCCAGCTGGTCGAAATTTCCGGAGCCTTCCACTAAGGCGTCTCTCGTAATCATATGGTGGTTTTGGGACGTTAAACCACACAAATCAATTAGTCATGGACGCAGATTCTGAACGTATACTCTGTGGACGATGGCGGCTTTGATTACAAAGCAACTGAGGCTGAACTGCTCGAGTGTGACAACGACGTGGGAGGACCACCTCCGAGCGTGAATAACGAAAGAACCTGCATGTGACGCTCCGACGACACTAATGTGGCATCGCAGACATCACGACCCGCCATGCTGGTGCACGGCGGTTTCCGTGAATTCAATGCAATGCACGAAACAACACACGCATATTGAGACAACCAGTCGCTGCTCTGGTCATTCTGTGCGTGCCCTTCGTCTGACTGAGTGATGTATTTTCTCGCTCAGTCGATATCAGTTCAACCTAATTTTATTAACGGGCGAGCTCTTTGAGGCGGTCCATGAGCCTTGAACAGGAATCGATCATTATGAACGGCCACGCGCTCTCTTCGTTCTCTACATCAACGTCCTCTGCATCTCATGCTTCACTTCCAGAACACGTGCACCTATTTTTCTGGCGCGGCATGCAATCACTCTGATCAGCGC